ACTCTCTCGAGTTTAAAAACAAAAAAAAAATTGAATCCCCCCATGAGAGTAAAAACTTTAAGACAAAAATCACTCAAAATGGAAATATTCTTTTTTTTTTTCTTCTCATACATTGGGAATATTGAAAGTTAACTAGCATAAATATTGGAAAAAAAAATTCAATTGGATCATCATTTTCGGAAAATTATACTCCTACTGTAGTTGTTTGCTTAACAAATTTCGGAAAATTCAATTGGATCTATAACTAATGCGTGTAGGTTATTTCATTATAAATTGAAAAGGTACATATTATGCAATACCATATTATCGCATCTCGTTAACTATGAACATAACACACACACGTTATGTATTACTTTACACTATTTAAATACACTCTGATCAGTACACCGACTCAAAAAATTTTCAGACATAATAATTTACGCTTAGCAGTATCCGTATCTTCTTATCTACTGCTCTTAGTTGAGCTGAAATGAAATTAATTGCACATATTGATCTCTCCCAAAATCAGCAGCTACCATGTAAATTTCTACTTGGAAACCTTAAAACAGGTAAAACATCTCTTGAATATATGTACCCGCTTTAGTACAGTTAAATTACCAAAACAAGATCTCTACTTCTAAAGTCAAAAAATTAGCAGACTAAATGAATGTTTGTTATAGCATAAACTCAAGTGATGATGGGACTTACATTTTCTTCCTCTAAGTAATGCCTGAAGCTATCTCCGGAAAAAGAAAAGAAGAAGAAATTAGGACCTCCTCTGTATTCACTCGCTCCACTCTGTGTGTTCCTCCCTTCGCTTGCGTTTACCTGTTGTTGAAGCCTCATACCAATCTCCTACTCTCAAGGCATTCGACATAGACATCACTGCTTCTTCAACTGCTTCTCTCTCTTCTGGATGTAGATCCTCTAGTGACAAAGTTGAGGCCACCTCGTCGAATTGGAGTATAGCAGCTTGCTACAAAAGAAACAACAGTGGGTTTAAAGGCGCAATTTCGAGGTGATTTCGCATATAAATAAGCAAGAAGATCCATTTACCACGTTCATTATATCAGCCTCGAGACTTGTATCTCTGTGAAGCTTCGGGACTGTGATGCTATTGAACCACTGCATATATACGCTTTCGTCACCATTGACTCCTTCACTCTCCACAATGTTTTCCCTTCGTCTCATCCATTCTTCGTCTGCTGTGTTCATGTCTTCCACTAAGTCTTCGTCATGGTTTTTCTCGTTTTTCCTGGGAGGAACTTCCCCGGGGATAGCTTGGCACAGTCCAAACTGCTTCATGCATCGATCTGGGAAGTGCCATTCTACTACTTTTGGACCGATCAATTTTGTTCTGGACCTGCCAAGTAGTAGATTATCTTTGAAACTTTGTGGCACAATGTCAAGATCTCCTTCAAAGGGGCACCAACTTACCTAAAGAGAATTCATTGGTAAGAAAAAAAGAAAACATAAGGGATTCAAAACCAAGAAATGTATTCAAGTCTTACATTTGATGGATCTAGATCATCAAGTGCCTTTCGGTACTTAAACAAGTCATTCTTTGATCGACTCTGTTGCCTTCCTTTCCACAAAAGTGCCAGAGGAAATTGACGAGTGGTTCTCTTTGGCCGGTCAATATTCAGGTGGAAGTAACTCCAACACTGAAGATAGTAACAAAATTGGTTAAGAAACTTCTCAGACTTAAAGAAAAAACAGAGAATTATGATGCTCTTAAAGTTACAATGGAGCTCCAGACAAATGAAAACAAACCTGTAAGAGTGTTAAGCAACCACCAATGATACTCTGAGACCGTTGAGAGGCATTACCAATTTGCCTATATAAGAAAGCTAGCGCCGCAGCTCCCCAAGCGTATTCTCCAGCTTTCTCAAAATCCTCAAAGAGAATAAGGTAATCCACAGATATCTTACTAGGATCTGTAGTTGCAAAAATTGTGCTCCCAACAAGATATATAAGATAAGCACGCGTGTGATACTCAATCTCTTTCACTGTCGCTCCCTTTGGACACTCTGCGAAATTCTCCTTCAACCATTTCGCAGTCACTCGATTACCGCTCAATTCACCTTTCGGTAGTTTCCCCAAAAGTCTTTGGCATACTTGAGAAGGGTCTTCATCTTTCTCTTTAACACCAACCACAGGTTTTCCATCAACAGCGAGACCGAGAATCAGCGATACCTCATCGAGGGTTATCGTCATTTCGCCACAGGGGAAATGAAACGTGTTGGTTTCTCTTCGCCATCTCTCGACGAGTGCAGAGATAAGCGAATTGTTCAAACTAATCGATCCTATGAGCCTAAACCAACCAAAACCTGCTTTGTCCACCAGTTCTATCTGCTCCTTTGTGAGCTTCCAGTGATGAAGCAATGACGTTCGTTCCTGACATCTAAGCACACCTCTTTCCTGCAAACAAAACAGCAAATTAACCCGAGTTGTTCGATTAAGACGAAGATATTCCAGATGGAGACTGAAACTGCGGTTATAACTACCTGTCCGGTCAAAATCGCAGAAGAAACGTGCTTATCTTGCTCGTAAAGGACAGGCATGGTCAACAATGCGTGGGTTTTATCTGTTCATCAGTGATAACGACACTATAAATTAGGGTTTCTGTGTCGAGCGCGATCAATTCGATACAATGATTCCATAACTGGGTTTCGTTTATCTAAACATCGCAATAACTTTCGCGCAGCTGATCTAAGACTTTACCGGATTGAATTTTGAGAATTAGGGTTCAGCAATCTATCTACTATGAAATTACGATAGAAAGGGGAACAATTTGGGTTCAATCAACCTATCTACTTCGAAATTGGAACGAAGAACATATGAAATCAAGAAACGAAAGCTTACGAGTTAGCTTATGAAACCAGACGAGGAAGATCGAACAAGGTTGCGTCGGAGAAATTTGAGACAGTGTAAGATCGCGGCCACAGAATGTGTGGAGGATCCGGTTTGGGTCGGTTTTTCTGGCCCAATGTAAATAATGAAATATGCTTTATTTCTCTCAAAAATCGCCATTTCGTTAAAAAAAAAAAAACATTTAACACATACAATCAATCAATCATACTAAAGGAAAATCACACTGAAATTCTGAATGAATTTCTTTCAAAAGAAAAAGAAATTCTAAACAAATACAGTAATTTCTAAGTAACACAAAATTTACAGCCTCTTGTAATATATGTTCTTGGTAGATTAAGGTTTGGAAGATGAGGTGAGAGAAGGTTTTGAAGCATTATCAAATATTGGAAATGGCAAAAATAATGCTTTATTGCAGAAATATGTTATTTATTACATTTAAGATACACTGATCCCTCTCATGTAAACTGATCCAAACCCAATTTGACAAGTT